TAACAGGAGGGCGGGGCGCTACAGCCTTACCTGGCTCTGTCGCTGCTAGTGGGAGGAGGGGTTGGGGAGGGGGAGGCATAGAAATCCCCAGGCTGCTCGGGGGCGAGAGCGTCAGCGGGCGGGGTTGGGGGGTGCACGCTCGGTGGCGTGGAGCAGGTTTTACGCGCGGACGGCGACGAGCCCCTGCGCGACACCCAGGAAGTGTCCATCACCCTGACACCCATGCTGCAGTAGGACAGAGACGCACAGCYAATCAAACCAGAGGAGGGGGGAGTGCTGGGGGAGGGGGGGCTGTGCGTCATCGAATCAGGTTCTGATGAGAAGGGGTCAGTTTTTCTATCATCTACATGACTGACGGTGACTTTAATGTGCTTAAAACAACAGTATAATTAACAATAATTCTATTCTTTTTTATAATGAAGACATGAGTGAAATGAGATGGTGATAACATCTGTAAGACAAAACGATTTGGACAAACAGAATGCTGATTCAGCATTTTTATGTTTATTTATTTATTTTTTATGTTTGTACAGGCGGAATACTTTGTGCTTTTTTAGGCACTAGCTCAGTTTCTGTCTTCTTAGGCTGCTTTTAGCTTTTAGCTAGCATTTTTGTGACTTTTAACTCTTAGCAACTGTCACTGCTACTTTTAACTATTACTTAGGTTGTGTCTCAATTCAGGGGCTGGGTCCTCATGAGTGCACATTTGTCGGCCGCATACGTCACTGCCCCACAAGGAGGACTGTCCCAATTCAAAGGCTCCTCCTCATGCGGCCAAGGAAAGCGGCCGACAAACACTCAAAAGCCGAGGAAGCATCCGTGTATCCTYACCGGCCGAGGATATCCCAGGATTCAATGCACGGACAGCAAAATAAACAGAGAAACAAAGACGGTGGAGTTTTTATTTTTTTTAACAAGTCGCATAGTTTGGAAATTCACCACGGACCGAAGGATTTGTTTTTAAAAGTAAGTTTAGCAACTTAGCTGATAAAATTTATGCTGCAATAAGATGTTAAATAAAAAAATGCAACTACAAATTACGAGAATAAAGTCATAATATTACGACTTCAAAGTCATATAAAAGTTAAGTCATAATATTATGAGAATAAAATTGTAATATTATGAGAATAAAGTCATTATATTATGAGAAAAGTCATAATATTCTAGTCTTTACATGAAAAAGCATACAGCTATCGCTGCATTAAAATGAGGAATGTTGAGCAACTTGTCAAGTTGTTCTTTATTGCTTAAAATAAATAGTTAATCTTTTACCACATTAGCATCAAATTATCATTAGTAGGACTTGGAAATTGTGCAAACAGCTATATGATAAACCGGAGCTGTAATCAATGGATGTATTGACAGATTTAGTCAGCATGTAGCTAATTTGGATGAAAGCATATTAATCTAACAGTGACCCAAGTCATCGCAGTCTACTTCAGCTGGTTCAGATGTTATCAGTCCCATAGAATGGCTTCAGACTGTCCCGACAGTGCCCCCTAGTGGGTTACCAGTGCCATATACACTGGAATGCAACAATCTGCTACCACCGGAGTCTGGTCTACTTTATCGTAGCCCATGTCATTTTCTCTTAAATTAACCTTAGTGGCTTTATGCCTCATACTAACCAGCTGACAGTCTGAAGCCATTCTATGGGACTGATAACGGCTAATAACGTCCATTTAATAGATGATAACATCCGAAGAGGGTGACTACTTTATAAACACAGACACACATGGCTGTCCACAGCAGGTTTGAGGGAAATAAGGAGGAAATGAGAAACGGAAAATGGACTTGTCATGTAAAATCATGACCCTTTTTCCGTTAATGTTAAGATTTTATTGCCATAATAATAATAATAATAATAATAATAATAATAATAATAAT